ACGTTTCTTATCCCTGATGATTCTGTTATAGGCGAAAGCTTGGAATTTAATTTTTATTTTTAATTTCAACAGTCAAAGGCCACAGTTGAACTTTATTTTACTCTCTAAGGTTTATAGTTTTGATATAATGGAATTTTCCTTGAAAAATAAGTGCTAACTTGCACAAATTTATCAACAAAGCTTCAAGCCATGTTGATAGGATGTGCCAAAGTTATTGTTTCAAAGTTGGGTGCCATCCTTTTCCATAGCAGAATCCACGATAAACCTCTAAAATTATGTAACAAATCGCGAAGATCTCAAAAGACACATTCCACAAAAGATAAACGAATTCGCCTCGTTGGGACTTGCCGGAAGGTACCCCTAGTTTAGTTTATAGTTCTAACTGTTGAGTCTGTGGACGAAACCCTGCGGTGTGACCATTCCAATGAAAACTCTTCAGCACTACTTTCACATACAATTTACTTTTGTCCAATTCTTCCTTTGGTCACTTTTGTTAGTAACAGGGTTAATTGTTAGATGATTATTAAACAGTGTTCTCTTGGAAATATAAAAACCCGCTCGCTGTAGAATTGAAAGGAGACAGACTAAAAACGATTGCTGCTCCTACAAATTTCCAACTTTCGTAACCTTTCCTCAGTTGGATGCGGTGTAGGAAAGAAATAGACGGGCGGGGCGGAGTTTCTCAAGTTGGACTACTTATTTGGAAAAAACACTAAAAAACAACGAAGTTTGGTCTACTTTCCAGTTAGAGGGTGAATTAATGTAATATCTTTCTTTTGTTTTCTAGAGGCCATTTTGTATTATTAACAGTCTGAGTAACTTCATAACTGCGGAGTAGTTTGAACAAGGTAGCTGCAGCTTAAAACAATACCTGGCACAATCCTCAACCTGATACTTCCCTAGCCTGTAGCAAGCGTTTCCGCACAGGTTCATTCAGAAAGCTACGAAAGAAGGCGAGCAGGTCAGGTACAGTATAGGATTAAGCGAGTTGACCATTCTGGTCTGTTTGGTGATAGGACTTGGTGTCTGTAATACGCGTCTTAATATAAATACCAGTGATTAATTTGATCAGACGATCACATAGCCGGAGTCCGATTTTTTCCACCACACTATGATCAAGGAGAGAATTGGACGACGCGACGTTGTTTCCAATTAATCATAGTTAAAACAGGACTTGACATAATTTTAACTTTCCTTTCAACCACTAGAACTCCCGAGAAACGTCTTTAAGTACTAGTGTACACGATACACTATGTACCAGTGTTTTTTTTTCTCGCTTGCAGCGATTGTGTCTAAAGTGTAATAATCTAAAAAATTACAGCATAAAGAGAGCATGCCCTCAAGTACCGCTACTACTAAACAAAAGGCCTATTTAAGAGGTAGGTTGCAGCTGTTGGAGCGGGGAGGCTATAAATTCTTTAGCGAGGGGATAGTTATATTTCAACTATTTTCTTTTGACGTTATAGAATCGAAGAAGTTGAGACTGCCTTAGTGACATGAATGTTTTTTCCCTATAAAAAACAGAGTCACAAGGAATCTAATACCTTGGAGGAAAAATCATTTACTGTTTTTCTACTTAGTCCTCGAGATCTGCAGTTTTACTGATCCATGTGTAAACACTCCTTTTTTGAGCCAAGAATGAAAAAAGCAGTGGATGCCATCGCAGTTGTTGCTATCTATTGGCTGCTTGACGATAAGGAGGGCTTTATTAGGCGCAGTACCTTATCAAAAATGCAGAGGCTACAGGATTCTCCACAATTGCGACGAGCCAGCCAGCTCAGAGCCAATTGACGTAAGACGCCATTTATAAGTATACAAAATGAAGCACTTTAACAGATTGACAGAATTTATTAGAAACAATTTTATCTGGAGTTTTGAAGACCTGTAACCCGGAAACTGCAGCTCAAAATTGATTGGAATCGGGTGAGGCAAAAGGGAGTTTGTTACGTTTGTTAAGCACGAAAATTCCACCACAGAAGGAAATTATAAAAGAAGGGGAAAACGAGAGGAGCGAGGGGAAAGGAAAGAACTGGGGAATAGAATGGTAGATTCGAGACTTGCCGAGACCCTGGCTTCAAAGTCCGAGCCCGAGACCTTACTTCTTAAAAATCCGAGCTCGAGACAATTTCGCGCGAGATAATGGTGCAAATAAAGCTAAATAAAACGACCAAAAAGGCTAATGGAAGCTAGCTAGATAAGCCCACCAATATACTGCTTTCAGTTCGATAAGCTGTACCCATAAACTCTGAAAAATTCTTCTCCTGAATACTAAACGGAAAGAAAAAACGACAAATCCGCGACTCCAAGTCCCGTCGGCAAAATACAACAACAACAACAACAATAACAAAAATTGGGACTGGCGAGACGCAAAAATCACCCGAAAACGAGACTTGAGACCCATCAAAAGCGAGTTCCGAGATTCCAGATCGGGCCAAAATTTTCCGAGATCCACATTTTTCGAGGTATCATTCTTCACCCCAGAAAGAGGACACGAGAAAGAAAGCAATATTCGCGTTCTTAATTGTTTCTAGTGAGCAGTTATGGATAAAGTAAGGATAACACTTCGCAGTCAATCATTTTACTTGTGCTTTATTTTCTGCTGACCTGATCTGCATTACAATGATATCACGGTCAGTGCAAGGAAAACGTTTCTTGCTCACACTGTGTTTAAACATGCAACAGCATACTCATCTAGTTGAATTTCTCCAGTAGTACGGGTCAGTCCTCACCAGGCGATGCTCCACATAGTGGCTTTCCGTTGGCAACATGACAGCCTTTTTTGCTCTGTGCAGAAAAAAATATATACATATTGTGTTGTAACGCAAGTCCATTTTAAACTTAAAGAGTGCCACCCACGTGAAGTGCTCAAAGCCCAGGATAAATGCTCTTGACCGATCGCTGAAAGTTCGGTTTGACCAAAAAGGTCCAAAAATAAACCAGTTACTCGTGTAACCTGTTCCAGGCGTTTATAGATAATGGGTGGAGTGTGCGCTATTTTTCCTGCTCACGTTTGCACCGTCCCCGCAATCTGCAGGGGCACCCAACTACTGTTTTCTGTAAAATGTCTGTTCGGAGAAGCAAATTTTGACTAGAATTTTCTATTGCTTAAATACGGCTAAAAATTTCAAGATGTGTGTTCCATTCAGCTACAATTTTCGAAGCTTATCTAAAAAATTCCCTGCGATTTTCTGGAGTTTAATTTTTCTTATTTTACCACTTGTGTTAGGCTGATTTTCGTAGAAAAAGGAAACCTAAAATTTTCGGATTCAAAATTTGATGGAGAGAGGAAAGAGAAAAATTCTCACATTCGTGAAACTTTCAAGTGCATCTAAAATTTTCGGGAAAGTATCACTGTAGCCCTTGTAATTTCAGCCTCAAGTTCTCCTAGGATGACCAAACAGATACAAATTTTATAGCGCCGCCTAGAAGGCATTTCTAGAGATCTAAAAGTACTCTGGATAGCCTAAAAAGACTTTTCAATGCACTTCGGAGGAAACCGTCGTTGGTTGCCCCTGAATTAGACTTTCTCAAAGTCGTTCGCGTGGTTTCCTGGTTTGGTGTGGTAGGACCCGCTTTTCACCATGCAAGGTGATTGGATGGCAAAAGTTCTTTTTCTCATACAAATGCTTCTAACTTTCGGCGGCCGTTGCAATACGGCTGAAAATTCTCAGGTTACCTAATTTTAATATGCTCTTTCAGCTTGTACTAACAAAATTTTTCAAAAGCGAACTGTTTTCGTGTTTACCAAAAGTTGGTCACATGATCAAATCATGCAAAGAGCCTATTATTCCTGAAATTCGAGGTAAATCAAGAAACCGTCTGAAACGTCAACTAATGAGTTTTACTATGGCAAAGTTTGTTTTACATTCTGTTGAACTTAGTTTAGGCCTTTTACTAAAGCTCAAGTGTGACAACAAAAGATAACGTCAGAGCAAGTCTGGATCGTGATCGCGCTTTAGTTTAAAGTGACGTTTTCTCCACCGCCGACGTCGTGGTGTCTTAAACTGTTCTCTAATATTATTACTTCGAGAAAGTAACTTAAAAACATACTGGTATAACGTATGGAACTGACAACGGTGATTTTTCCCATCTTTCAGCGAGGGGAACATGGTAACATCCCCTTTCAATATCCCCTCGCTCACAGTCATTTTTTGGACGGATGGCTCCCAATTAGTTGTCTTCTTCTGCATCACAGGTCCATTAGCAGGAAAGTTGGTTCAAAGTAAACAACTTTCAAGATGCTACATAAATTTTACGCATGAACTCACCTATCAAATTTTAACCAATCAGAACATAAAAATTGGACGTGGAGCGTGACCAACACGTGACCATGGTAAGCAAAGGTCTTCCCCGCCTGTCTTTTAAAAAAACTGGCTGAATTTTTGCGTCTGAGGTCAGTTTGAAATCAAAATCGTAATAGTGCGGTGCGATACTGACATAAACACAACATATTGAATATGAATTTTAAAAAAAGTAAACGTGAGCCTACGATCATTTGAAAACGAGTGAATTGTCAGCGGATAACTTCAAAAAATACTCGACCTCAATGGGTCGACACCTGAGCCCGCGATATGGCCAGGTGATACTGGTCAGCGGATACCCTGTTTTGACAGCTGTCAATTGATGACAACATTGATGTGCAATCAGCTTTCCCCTGGACTCCCAAAAGAGCTAGAAAGTGTGAGAGTAAACATTGGTATACCTGTGGTGCGGACGGACGGTCGGTCGGTCGCTCGGTCGGTCGGTCACGTGATTACCAAATTTTCTGGGATGGTAGCCTGTTCCAAGTGTTCAGATAGTGGAGAGCGGTGCGAAGTAAAGAAAGCGATGAAAAGTAGAGGCGGACTAGGGAGAGAGGTGCGGGAACGCTTGTAAGAATTTCTAACAAAAGTGCGTTCCGGTATACCAGATCCTGGTATACCCTCTGATTGGTTGGTTTTGACAGTTTTTGTCAACAGTGGAGCGTCTTCGATCACAGCGAGAAATGCGATATGGCGGTGATGACAGACTCTACGTCCCGTCCAGAATTCGAACTCGCAACAAACACAGCGCTAAGTGACTTTCCAAACGTGGAGGCTAAACGCGAAGAGCAAAGGAACTGTTTAAAATACGTAGTCGGCAGGATAGATGTCTTCGAATTTTCACCAACTGGCTTTGGAAAAAGACTTATTTTCCAGCTTTTTCCTCCAATAAAGCGTGCGTTGGAATGAAGGCAGGATAGAATGCCATTTACGATTGTTGTGGTAACTCCGTTGATTGCCATCATGAAAGACCAAGTGGAACATTTGACCAAATTCAAAGTGGCGGCGGCAAGGATGGAAGAAAATGTGGATGAAGCCGTTAAAAGTGGAAGCTGTGAAATTGTATGATCCTTAAAAATTCACTCAAAGGCGTACTGCAGTCACAAATCGTGGTTGTCTAAGGAATGGACAAAAGGACTTCAAAAGGAAAGCTTGGAAAGCAAGTTGCAGCTATCGCTATTGACGAGGTCCACTCAATCACCGAATCGTAAATTTTCCCTTCGTTTGTTGGGCATTTTCATTGCTCGAGTTAACGATCTGTATTGAAACGGCTTTCTATCGAAATGAGCGATATTTGTTTGTCACTTGATCCATAATTTTTTTGTCAGGTACACGCTGAAATCATGTTTTAAAGCCGTAAATAAATTACTTCTCCCGCTCTCTATTGTTTGAAAGTCTTACATCAGGTTTTTAGTAAGATTATGTATACATAATATTAATTTTTGATAGAGAAATTTTGATTTATTGGTAAGAAAAATAATATATGTATGGGGCTGTAACATCAGTCTTGATTGACAAGTGAAGACCACCTACAGCTGATGCGGTCCGAGTGGGCGGATGAGTCTATTTAAAACAAATCTAACCGGCGTTCCCTCTCTCACCTCTTCCCCTCCCTCACTTTTATTTTTTCGGGCTCCTTTTTACTTCGCACCTCTCCCCACTATCTGAACGCCTGGAACAGGCTACTGGGATGGTTAGATTTATTTACCCATGGTGCTCCGCAGGCGCGCTTCGCCCGCGGAGCTCCGCTAACAAGTTTTTAACTCTATTTAAATTCCTTGAATTTTCACTTAGGACATGAAAACTCATAGGACATTCCACATTAGGCTGATAGGCTCCTGGCTGATTTAGCAAGAGAACGGGAACGTCAGTTGACAACGGCGCGTGCAAATCAAACAACTGGCTTGACCAATGGCAGAGCGGTAAATTGGGTACCGGAAGTCGTGTTTAGCCATTTCCGCGCGCTTTGCGGTCGCCAACTGACGTTCCCGTCCTGTCGCTAAATCTGCCTATTATCAGGCTCCTAACATTATCGCGCCAATGAGATAAAAGCCCAGCAGTGTGAGCTGCAACCTCGCTTCAAAAACAGTACTCCATGCCGGTATTTTCTCGAGTCCAGTCGTAGCTCATTTTCCCAGCTGCTAATTAATTGGGACACCTAAATTGAAATTCAGTTGATCGATCAATTTTAGCAAAACTGATGAGCCACTATCATGTCAAAAAGGATGAAACCAGGGTCATCCTTTTATGGTAATAATTTGTAAGGCACCATTAGGTGCAAAATTTATGAAAATTTTAAAGGGCCCGAACTTCTCCCCTCTAATGCTAAATTAATTTTTTTTGCAACATTCACCCATATGTTTTTGCCACACGCTTTGCTTTTGTCATGGAAAGAAGTCAAATAATGGTGTTCCCGGAAGGAATTCACATCAATGTCTATTACCTTAATACCACTCGCTTCCCGTAGCTTGCGTAAAAGGCGTTTCGAAAGCGTTTGGGGCGGGGGTGGGGAGGGTGCTCAGCGTTCTCACATCCTCTTAGGGGCTTGTAGCTTCCATTTAGGTCGCTGTATGTTTCCTCTGGGTCTTCTGCAGATTTTGTTTGGACACCAACTTTTCTAAACTAGCGTCAGGGAGGACTCTTTTAGTAAGGCGGCCAAAGCAGTATCGCTTCCACGCACCGATGATGCGGTTAGCAAGGCTGTTGGAGGGTTTAAATTCTTTAGGGAGGGGATGGTTTTATTTTATTTTTTTATTATTATTATTGCTATAGAAGAAGTTGAGATTGCGTTTGTGACATGAATGTTTCTTTCCTATATTATATGAGTCAAGAAAAGAGTCACAAGAAATCATTTACCGTAGCTTATGGGAAAGTAGAAAAAACATTAAAAACTGATCCTTACCTCAAGAGAAAAAATATAAAGAAATAAATTTTAAAATTTTTTGTTCTTTATATTTTTCTCTCGCTTTTCTTGCCGTAAAGATCATTTTACTGTTTTTCTACTTGGTTGGTATTCGGAGGCCTACACACTGATCCGGCTGTCCCACCTGACTAGTCTGTTGCTGTGGTCTTTTCAGTGCCTTTATAAATATATTTGGGTAATGTCTCTTTTTTGGAGCTAAGAATAAAAAATAAGCGATAGATGCACTCGTAGCGTTAAGTTTTCGAAACTACAGGCTACAGGATTCTCTGCAAAGCGCCGTTCTAGCTGAAGTTTAGAAAACATAGATCCCGGAAATCGCAGCTATAAGTTGAGGACCAAACGCGGTGAGTTTGGTGCCGTTTCGAATAAGCATGAAAATAAAATACAGAACGAAAAGAAGGGGGAAATGAGAAGATCGAGGGGGTGGAAACAAGGACACGAGAAAAAAGTAATATTCGCGTTCATATTTGTTTCAGTAGAGAGCAGTTACGGATGAGTAAAGATAACACTTCGCAGTAAATCATTTCACTCGTGCTTTATTTTCTGCTGACCTGATCTGCATTATAATGATATCAGGGTCAGTACAAAAGGAAAACGATTCTTGCTCACACGGTGTTTAAACGTGCAACAGCATGCTCATCCAGTTGAACTTCTACAGCAGTAAGGTCAGTCCTCACCAGGCGATGCTCCACATAGTGGCTTTCTGTCGGCAATTCGACAGCCTTCTTTGCTCTGTGTAGAAAAAAATATATATTGTGTTGTAACACAATTCCATTTTAAACCTAGAGAATGCCACCCACGTGAAGTACTCAAAGCCTAGGGTGAATACTCTGGAACGATCGTTGAAAGTTGGGTTTGACCAAAATATAAACCAGTTACTCGTGTAACCTGCAGTTCCAGGCGTTTAGATAATCATTTTTTCCTGCTCACTTTTAATTTGCACTGTCCCCAAAATCTGAGGGCCTGGATCGTTGAGAGCGTAACTAGATGTAGTTAACCAAAGTATCAAAAAGCTAAGAAGGTAAACCTGAGTAATGAAACAATGAACGTGAAGTCACTTTTTAAGTGACGTTTGCTCGCCACCGACGTCGTGGTATCTTAAACTGTTCTCTAATATTGTTACTTTGAGAAAGAAACTTAAAAAACATACTTGTATAACGTATGGAACTGGCAACGGTGCTTTTTCCCATCTTTCAGCGAGAGGAACATGATAACATCTCCCTTCAATATCCCCTCGCTCACAGTCATTTTCTCGACGGAAGGCTCCCAATTAGTTGTTCTCTTTTGCATCACTGGTCCATCAGCAGGAAAATTCATCCCAGTGAAAGTGGACTTGTGGATAAAGCAGTTGCGTTTACTGTCAAGGCTATCGAAGTGAAAGGAACTTATGAGACAGTAACAAAATTTATTTTTGTATTATTTTTATTATTATTGTTATCAATATTGTTATATTTCTTATAATTAATTAGTTAATTCTAAATTTTAAGCGTCTTTGATCGTAAAATTAGTAAATTTATACCTTATATCCACATTGGCTATGCAAGATCCGCCATCTTCAAATTTAAGACTTCTTTCCCATGTGTATCCATCAGGAAATGATGGCTTGAAATAGTCAACGATTCCTTTAGGATAATCAGTGAAGGCTCTGTTACCATAGCAAAACACAGCTGACAATATGTCAAAGGAGAATGGGAGGGGACCACCCTTGGTTACTCGCAGTTTTAAAGTCTGTTTTCCTCTACAAAAAATTAAAACAACAAACACAAAAACGAATTAAACAAAATATGAAAAGCAGAGAAGAGCCTTTTGAGAACTAGGCTAAACACTGCCCATTTATCAGAGTAATTTAACTGAATAGCAGGAAAAAGTTAGGACAGCCTGCTATATAATTTAGTTTCATTTCGATTCTGCAATGCTAATTCGCGCCATTCGAAAAGATTATTGGCAAGTCCTGTCGCGACAAAATACCTCTTTCATAATACTTAACTACACCCCAAAGCATTTAACACTGTTGAACAGTTTAATGTAATAATTTTTTATTTGTTTCTTTTTCAGAAAAAAAAAACTAATCCGTAAACCAATTTTTAAAAAAGCAATTTTGGAAATAAAGGGTTAATAGATCATCACTGTGGCACCTTTGAGATAATAGTTTGCGTAAATATGATCATATAAATGACGTTTGATCCTGATCTATCAGCAAAAAATTAACGATCGTCATCGCCTATTGCTGAAAACCATCGTGTTTCATCATATCCGTGTCAGATTTACCATTCAAAGGAAAGTTGTTATTAATTTCTGTTTTTTTGTGATGATTAGTAAAACCACTTTCACTTCATAGAACTTCCTATTGCACCAAAGGCCATAATATCTCTTTTGGTATGATTGAGTTTTCGGAATCTTTCGCTTTATACTTAGTACAGCTGATTTAAAATAATTTGAGAATTTGACTTTGCATCGTAAAAATATTCGCAAGTTGATGACTAGCTTTATTCTCTTAAGTGAACTTAATGACTGGTGTAGTTATAATTAAATATCTACCCTACTCGCGCCTTCAACCAATAGGCCCTAAGAGTGATCAGCATCAAATTTCTCCTTGTAGTATCAATGCTTTGTAAAACAGACGGTCACGAGAATAACAGACATGATCTATGATCATACACGATGAATTTGCTTGATATTTTATCAACTTCTCCTTACTACTTCCGTGGGAAATGAATAGGGGCAACAAATGAGAATTTAAATTTTCATCTTAGGTTTAAAGGGTTAATAGAGCCCCCAGTGGCTCGGTGGTTCAAGAGCATCCGAACTAGAACTCAGAGGGTCGTGAGTTCGATTCTCACCTGGAGCTCGGAATTGTTTCTGAGCTTTCTGGTGTTAGAAATCTCATTCTCCCGACTGATAACAGTGAAGTACTATTGCACTTAACATGACCTAAAGATGAAGGGAGGTGTGTTGATCGACTTACTCGTACGGCTTCCCGCTGCCTTCACCCTCGATTGTAAAGGAATGCCCATTAACAGATCCTTCCATGTGGTATGTCATCGCCATGTCATCTTTGATAACCTGCATTAAAAAAATACACAAAAATAAATTCGCGTAAATGCAAGTGTGGCTTGCAAAGTTAATTAAAGATTAGGAAGCTTAACACAGTTCAGGGTTATAAAATTCCAAACATAGGTTGGGCAAAAGCAAAGCTATTCAGAGAGTATCTATCTAGAGTGATTTTACTTAAGCCGTGAAATAGATAGACTAATACGAACTATATTACTCTCTAATTTTATTGTTTTTCTTTGTTTACCTGAAACTATTTGGCGCTAATTGTCACTCACACTGTTTAACGGGTTTAGTAAAAGTAAAAAGATCAATAGGTTTTCGATTCAATATTGATATGACGTTCGCCAATTAATAATTTTGAAGATTTTTTTTTTATTTTACGCGAGAATCAAAAACCATAACCTATAGCACGACTAAATTGCAAAATTGCAAATTGCAGCTATTTCAAGTTGCATCAGATTTAACTGATCGATAACCTTGACTTTGAGTAAAGTATTACATCCACTACAAACTTAAAGCTTTTTGAACAGAATTATACTATGGTGATTTTAAGACTGAAAGGATGAGTTTTGTCTCGGTCTGTTTTGAGATTTTTAACCTCTTTTTTGCTGTTCTGCGTGATTATTAATCTTAGAGTTTTATTCCAAACGAAAGAAAGAAATTGTGCTATGTTCTAAGCTTCCTTTTGTAAAAACGTCGGAAAAATTGTACAGCTTGATCTTTCATCCAATATCTGATTGTTGGCATTATGGAAACGTTTTTATAACTACCGCTAGGGTGTGGCATGGTAGTATGCTATGAAATGCAGCTACGTTAACATTTGCCAAAGTAGATTCAACTTCCTCAAAATCTTTGCTTAGAGTTGAAAAACTCTCTTCCATAAACATCAGAAAAGGGCAGGCGTAACATGAAACAATACAGCTTTGTCTTTCTCGCATTAAGTGAGTATTGGCCTTTTTGTAGCGTTTGGGGAATGCAATTAGGGAGTTGTCTGGTAGTATGCTATGAAATGCGGCTACGTTTGTCCTTATTGCCAGAGTAGATTCGACTTAGGGTTAAAATTCACTTACTTGCTTTGAAAGGGCCATGTTGAGAAGAAATTGCTGCTTTTTTAAAACAGTACTCAAAAGTCCAGTTAAGCTGTTGTAGTTCACTCCGTCACCGACTAAGCTGAACTGACTTCTGTGGCTAAGGGTGGATTAATTTTAAGGCCAAATCAAACCAAAATACACACCTTGATTGACGCATTAAAACAGGTTAGGCTGGATCTTGACAGGTTGGTCTGGATAAACGGGACAAATAAATCTTTGTTCTTTACTAACGGGTTCACGTGATGTCAGTGTGCATGTACTTTTCCACAGTCTTTCCTAACTAAACTTGGCTGTTCATTAATTTTGACTTTTACGTAACAGTGAGCTCCGAAGGTATTTTACAAATTTTTAAATTAACAGCAATCATTAAATCAGTGCTTCTCAGTGCCATCTTGATACGATTTCATAACCCAGTTGCCGTTAAAACACCGCAAAAAAGAGCTTACAAACAAACAAATTTAAAAAGTGAATGTTGAACATCCATCAGAAACTAAGGTGTAGTTAAGCAATTTTATCAATTTGGAAGGCAAAAAATCTGACGAGTTGGGGGCGAGAAGTATGCTATCAAGTACAGCTACGAGGTTTTGCAGAAAAAACCGCTGTTGGTCCTAAACTTAATTAGGGTCGGGATTAATCGAGTGTGTCAATTCAAGCTCTTCTAGTAACTGTTCACTGCCTGACTGATTGACCTAACCTGAAGCGATTAAAGTATCAATATGTTACTTATAAGGTGAAACAGTGAAACGGGCCGTAGGCAAATTGGGAAAAGAAAAATAGATTCCTGACCTTTTTTAGTTAATAAAACAAGTGCAGATCAGTGAAAGGCTTCTAATATAGCTTTTCTTGAGTTTCTGAATTCCGCTTTGATTTGCGCTTGACATCTAGAAGAATCTTTAATATAAATTAAACAAGCTTTGTTTTAATGCTCGGGTAAGTCATCGCCAGATAAAATATATTTGTTAACGATAGAGGGCTGTATTGAGGGAGGTAACAACATCGTTCCCGGGGTTGACGACTGGTTGGGGAGGATATAGAAGTACGCTTTAAAACGACTGCTGATCGTGGCCCGTGTGGTGATTAGATTGGAGAAGACCATTAAGCTCGTTTTCAGCTTGTCATGCAGAGCATGAAGGCGGCTTATAACTTAAAAGAGCAATCAAGAAGAAGCTGTGAACAGTCCAACTAGCTAGAGACTTTTTTTTTAGTGTAGGTAAGAATGGTGAGATTGAAAGCATTTCCCTAAATTACTGTAGAACTGACCTGTATTTTAAGCGGTCACTTATATTCTGAAGTCGCGCCTCGGTCACCATTTCCGTGATCCCAACAAGTTATTTTTTATTACCCCCACCTGTCTTTAACGGTCACCTTGTCAAGATGAACCACACAAGTGCAATAGAAACAATGTACACGGCAGCATTTAGTAGTCTTTAAGCACCTTTGTTTTGGCGCAAGAAGAGGTAAAACACCAATTGTGGACCCCTTTGCCCGCTCAACTTGTCGTGCTATGGATATTTCACTATTTCACCATCTTTATTTTCTTGATAAACTCCTAAGTTTGTGGGGTTAAACCTGTATTAAAAGGTCAACATGTATTAAGCAGTCATTCAGCCATTCCCCAATTAATACATGTTTGACTGTTTTCAGTTTTTATTCTTAGACTAATAACCGTACGTTTGTAAAGGAATCAGCGTGAGCTCTAAGTTAATGTAATGACCGAGTAAAATGACAATTTTAAACGCGAACGTTTTGCATTTACTTCAAACCATCTTTGTTTTATTTCTTGGCATTGATATCATTGTTTAATACAGTTGAAGATATCTCTTCGGGTAGTCAAGAATACATTAAATTATTATTTAGGAAAAGAAAAGTGAGTTCCTTAATTAACGTATATCGTTCTTGCTTGTGACAGCTGTGGTGAGAATTCACTCCGTTTAAGACTACCTCACACATACACTTTTTACTTGATTTCAAAAACAAAATGAATCACATCCGAACTCATCAGGACAGGTTAGAGGGTAACAAAATGGCTGTCTGATTACCCACACCCCGGGCCAGACCCCAAGTAGGGGAATGGGGAGTTTGTAAAATGATTCTTTTTTTAGTGACTGAAGATAAATTATCGCAGAAACCTTGTCCTTGGAATAATGGAATAATCACTCGCTAGATGAGGTTGTGAATAATGCCCTTTTGGGTAATAAAATTGCGATTTCAATTCCTTCTTCAAGAGAATAATAATTTTTCTCAGTTTGACTGGAATAAGGAACAACGAAATTTTCGTTTAGGAGTAACGAAAACACCCTATTATTCCTCATTCGGCCTTTGTATAGCATTTTGCCACTGGCAAGCCATTTTTTTTAAAAGTTAAACATTAAGAGCGTGCCCTGAAGCACAACCACAAAAGACAAAAGGCCAATTACCTATAAGGCGTCTTTCAAAATTCTTGGAGGTGATTCATTTTCAAATTAAGTCGGTAAATTTGTCTGTCTCGATCAATTAATATCTTCAAAAGAATATAAAAACAGAGGCGGTTGCTAAAGAGAAAATGATTATAATAGCCATGGGGGGCCATTGGGGGCTGATTGCCTAAATTGTTAGGGCAGGAGCCGTTTAGAATGTAACCGTAGGGAACCCACGCTTTTATCTGTAAACTGCAAATGGAAATTAAATAAGAGATAAAATCTTAACTGTTTTGTTTTATTGTTGAATCTGCTGTGGTGCGAAGTGAAATGAGAGTTGTTTTACGATGCGAAAACTATGTTCAAGTCGACTCTTTAACCGTTGTTGATTTCACAATGCTTGTTAAAGCGTCGACTTGAACATAGTTTTCGCATCGTAAAACAACTTCCATTTTACTTCGCACTAAAGCAGATTCAAGAATAGAACAAAACAGGTAAGATTTTATCTCTTATTTAATTTCCGTTTGCAGTTAATAAGAGCGCGGGTTCGGCTTATGATGTAACTGATTCTAGTATAAATTAACATGAAAACATACTAATCAATTTTTATTAAATTTCTTTGCTGTCATCGCACGAGTTACCTTTAGTTATCTCTTGACATGTCACCCCCGACCTCCATAGCATTGCGATCATTCCTAAGGTCGCCGTTTCAACAAACGCAAGAGCGATCGACATAATTTCGTTCATCGGCCGGGCCATTCAAAGGTTGATTACTATGACTGGGAGAAAAAATTTACCCAAAGTGAGTTTTTTCTTGCTGTTAAGTTGACGGAAATATTAATTAAACTAAAGTGGGCAACTGATTACAATGAAGAACTATTTATAGTAATTAACTGATTTTTGCCAAGTATTAAAAAAATTTATAGATGAACGAAACTAATAGATTTTTCCTGAGTCTGTGACTCATTGATAACAACTGCCGTGAATTTGTTTTTCAGCAGAGACTCTATCTAAATGTATCGACTAACTTCTGTTAAGACTGTTAAGGAAATCTTTACATTTTTTAAAACCTTTTTTATATATTTCTTTCGTCGCTTTTGAGAAACTTTTTCCGCAGCGGCCACAGGGTAAAGAAACAACTCTTGAGGTCAACTCTTGTAAAGCGAAAGGAAAAGTTTCTTTTTTTTGGAGCAGCTGAAATCATTTCTTTGTAATCTTCTAATACTGGCAAGCAGCCATTGTTTGTCCAAGATCATTAATTTCAAAGTTAATTACGCATTAGGGACTCTCTGTTAATTGCTTCTTCAAAGAGATTTGTCAAAAATTTGTTGCTTTTAAGTCACTCATCAATAAAATGATTGATATTAATAAACCCATTGGGAGTCGGGGGGGGGGGGAGCGAGGTACTCTCTTATGTAAGCCATATAGGTATGTGCAACCCCAAAGGGTATGGTTTTGGGGACTTTTTGGTCTGAAAACCGGTATACACTTTGCCCATTTTGGTCTAGAATCGGGGTATGGTTTTCGA